TGGCATACAGGCAGACCACGCCCTCCAGTCACTAGTGCACACCACAGGGGGGTAAATAGTCCTCTACTCTCTTTTAGAAGATGGGGGTGTGGCCCCCAAACACCTGCCCTAAATTAAGTCATCAACAACAGACACGAATGAGCACAGTCATGGTTTCTGGCCCACAAGACTGAAGAGGCTCCAGGCCACTCTTCAAAGGCCTTCCCTTGGCGCCTGCTGCACACTCAAGATGAGGCAGAAGTATGAGGTAAACTATGGCCACCGTCCACACAGAGGGGTAGCTTCTTGGTCTTGTTGCTTGCTTCAACAAAATGTGTAACAAACACAACTTAAGGACGGGTTGATCTGGGCTCACAGTCCCGGGCTCCAGTCCATCACATCAGGTGAGTCATGGCGGCAGGAGCATGAGGCAGCCAGTTTAGTGGCTCTCACAGGCAGGAAGCAGAGAGAGGTGAATGCTAGTCCTCCGCTCGCTCTCATCTTCTTATTTAATCTATCTCTGTGCATCTGGTGCCTTCCATGTTTAGGGTAGGCCTTCCCATCTCACTCTGAAAACATGCCTGGGGATTTGTATCCTCGGTGGGTTCCAGGTCCTGCCCATTGGTGACTGATGGTAACCCTCACACCCAAACCTGAGGAGGAGAGCACAGATCTGACGCTGTGACTCTTGATCATTCCTCAAAGGTGACCCTCACCACCGCAAACTTAAGTTCTTTCCTTCTAGCTCATCGACAGCTACTCAAGTGCTTGGGCTCAGTCAACACAGTTCCTAACATGGGTACTAATTCCAAAGCAGTTCGGGCCTTGGGGGAATGGCTCAGAGGGTAAAGGGGCTTGCCACCAACTGCTGGCTGGAGTTTTATCCTCGGACCCTCTTGAAAGCCAAGTCCTGATAGTTGTCTCCTGACTCCTGACAAGCAATAAAATGGATTTCATGGATGAAAACCAGCCTGTCTGTTATTTCTAGACTCCCAGACCCAGGCTCTTCATGAAGCACAACCCCTTCCCCCACATTTATCAAGATTCTGAAGGAGGCTTGTCCCAGGGCAGACTAAGGGACAGCATCGGAGGGAGCCCAGGGCTGAGGTGGGCTCCAGGAAGATGGCATAGTCAGATCAGCATTAGAGAAAATTTTCTTCTTCTGATTACTCTGGAGCCGCTCTCCCCTCCCCTCCGCGAGCGAGAGCGATAATGATGGACTAGGTCCCTCTCTTCTCGCTGATTATAATGATATTGTAAACCCTGATCATTTTTTTTTTCAAACTCCATTTAATGTCGGGTGTGCATTCATCAAGGGTTGTTGTTGTTTTTCTTCCTTCTTTTAAAGAAGTAGTTTTATTTAAAGGCTACGAAGTTTAAAGGTAACTGAAGGTGTTTGAAAAGCATCTCTGATTACCAGCCTTCGAATTGCAGGCACCTGCTGGCACACGAAGTACCAGCCTACTCAGGCCTGTTGCACCCTGGCTGATGGTGGTGGGGAGGGTCTCTCTCCCTCACAGTGTAGACTTCTCAGTGGCTCTCCCTGAGTGACAGGTGGGGGGGGGGGTGGCTGGGAAGGAGAGTGAACATGAAGAGATAATAGGACACTTTCCTGAAGTTTTGACGGAATCTCACGCCTTGTTCTGTATAAACAATAGCAAGGTGCTTCTCTGCTGTTATTACTGAGGCTCACCATATAATTTGAGGCTTCTGCTGTGGTTGACAGTGGGAAGCAACAGCAACAGTGTGGAAAAAGACACAGGGCCAACCACTGCAGTGTGGCGACAAGGGAGAAACGTCACTCTTCGGGGTACAGAAGAGGAAACAGGAGGTAGAAGAGGAAGGGTCCCCAAGCTCATGAACAGTGTGGCGCATTTGATAACAAAACTTTTAAAGAGGTATCAAAGAAAAACGGGAGGTTGTTGCACGCACCTTTAATCCCAGTATTTGGGAGGCAGAGGCAGGTGGATCTCTATAAGTTTGAGGCCAGCCTGGTCTACAGAGCAAGTTCCAGGACAGCCAGGGTTACACAGAGAAACCCTGTCTCACTATATATATGTAAACACACACACACACACACACACATATATATACATAGAGAAAGAGAGAGGTGTCAAAGCAACAGAACCATGCTGCTGAGCAGAGCTTCGAAGCCCTTTTCTCTCTCTCCAGTTTGACCTTCACTGTCCCAGGACTACACTTATGAATAAGTCTGCTGTGCTTGGAAAGACACAAGGCCCAGGCCTTACCAGTTTGAGTCAAAGAGATAGGAAGTCAAGAAGATGTAAGAAGACCTCTGGAGTTAGGGAGTCAACTCCAACACGACAGCATTGCCAGCCGGGACACTAAACAAGTGGAGACTCTTGAGACCTCCTGACTGTATCTCAGCTTCTGTGGCAGAGCTCTGCGTGGCTTCCTCCTGGCCTCTGGCCTTGTCACTGTAGGGTGCCACTTCCTGCTGGATCTGAAACCTGTTTGCTCCCATTTCACTCTGGCCTGGGTGCCCTGAGAGAGGCAGGCACACAATTGACAAGGCGAGCCTCTCTCGGGAGTGAGGCTGCCCTCCCCTTTCTCTCACCAGTCACTAGAACACAGACCGGACAGCAGCAACTGCTGCAGCCATGCTAGGATGTGAAGAAGGAAACCTATGGTGGAGAGAGCAGATGGCACACAGCACACCACGATGCCCTGTACGAGACCTCCACCATTTCCACCCCAGTGGTTATTGGTGAGAGAAACAGAACTTCCTAAACCCATTGTCGTTTTTGGTTTTTAGGAGAGAAGTCCAGACTTGGTCATATTTAATTCTACATCAACATAAAGCATCCGTGAAAGCCCCGCCCTCGCCTGCTCCCCAATACCACGATCTGCCTATGTCCTTGGCTAATATGCCCTGTCTGCGGATCTCCAAATAGGAAGCATTTACCATTCCATCGTATCCATAGCTTCTCTAGAACAGCAACCAGCAAACAACAGTCTGAAGAGCAAACCTGAGCTGCTTGTCTTTGTAAACAAAGTTTGATTGGCACGCATTCCCACCTGTTCTCACCTGTTCACACCCGTTCACACCCGTTCACACCCGTTCACTGCTAGATGCTTTCTCCGCAGTGTGGTTGAGTGCTTGCCATAGGGACGGTGGGGCTTCCCGTCAGAAATCATCATGACTTGATTTTCACAGCAGAAGTTTGCCAGCTCTTGATCTAGATAACTGCATGCAAAGGTTTAATGAAGTCTCCTTTCACTTAAATAGAGTATGTGTGTACACATTTGTGTGTGCGGGTGCACACGCATGTATGTATGTCAGACATGCACCACAGGTCAGCCTGGGGTGTCATTTCTCAGAAACTATACACCCTCACAAATTAACTTTTCGGAACGTCATAGACAAGCACCGTGTTTACGTCATTTCCACTCCTTCTTCCCCTCGCCCTCCTTCCATGCACCCCTTCTCAAAAGCATGACTTCTCCTCTAGCTATATATCCATGTATAGAAATATCTACTGATATAGATAAACTACTGAGCCCACTTAGTGTTGATCGTACACACAGGGTCTCTTCCTGGTCTAGAACTCACAGTGTAGGCTAGACAGCCTGGCTGAGGAGCCCCAGGCATCCACCTGCCTCTGTCTCCCAACTGCTGGGGTTACAATCTCTTGCCACACAGCCAGCTTTTTTCCATGGCTTCTAGGGATCACAAACACTTCACCAACCGAGTCAACTCTAGGCTCTAAATGAGGTCATTGACAATCAATGATCCGTCACCATCTGAACTGAAAGACTTGCAAACCCGGCAGCTACCTTCCCACTCCTATCCTCCTCTTCTTACCAACAAAAGCCCCGTGCTGTTGGGAACATCCTAGAATACTATTTTGGACTCTGCAGCCAGGTGACCTCTTGACCAGATCCAGACAGCAGCCAACATAGGGATGGCTGGAAGTCCTCCAGAAAGCCATCCCCCAGCAGCAGCGCACCACTATGGGGCTAAACTGCCATTTCCCAGTTTTCCTTGTAGCCAAGTGTGGCCACCCTTCTTGAGTTCATGTCCTTTCTCCATCTCACACAAACATGGGAGCCTCAAGGTGCTGCAGTGACCCTGCTACCCACAGGAAGTGCACTGTACACAGATGAGCCAGTGGATGCGGGGCACTGGTGAGGTCATCAGTTAGCCTTACTGGCCATTTTCTTGTATTAGAAGGAGTGTTTAAACACACCTGTGTTCTTGCCAAAAGGAAGGGAGGGAGGGAGAAAGGAAGGGGGGAAAATGCTTAAAAATGCAGCTAGAAATGACAGCTGAGTGGTTAAGAGTACTTGCTGCTCTTCCAGAAGACCTGAGTTCAGTTCCCAGGACCCAGATCAAGGAGCTCCCAACCACCTGTAATGCTGATAGAGCGCATTGCTGAAATTAGTCTAGAGTGAGTGCTCCATGAGCATTCGCTAAGAGGACCCTTGACCGCTGTTAGTTCATACAAGACATTAGAGAGTAGAGATGGATGACGTCATTGCTGAAATTAGTCTAGAGTGAGTGCTCCACGGGCATTCGCTAAGAGGACCCTTGACCGCTGTTAGTTCATACAAGACATTAGAGAGTAGAGATGGATGACGTCATTGCTGTAATTAGTCTAGAGTGAGTGCTCCACGGGCATTCGCTAAGAGGATCCTTGACTTGCCCCTTGTTAGAGCATACAAGACAGTAGAGAGTAGAGATGGATGACGTCACACTGAGCAGTGGCCAACCCTGAACTGCTAAAACAGAGACAATCATAATGGGGGTGGGGAGATGGCTGTTGGTCAAGTTCTTACCATACAGGCATGAGGATTTAGGTTTAATCTCCAGAATCCATGAACAAGCACTAGGGAGTCAGAGGCACGCCCCAAGGCTCACTGATGAGCAAGTTTGAGGCTCCGTGGGAGACCCTGTCCTAAGGTGGAGCTGTTGAAGGAGACACCTGAAGTCAGCCTCTGGCCTCTATCTGCACTCATGCACATTCTTTTCTTTTACTGGAAATAGATTGTTTTCATACCTTGTATTCTGGTTATGGGTTCACCTCTCCTACTCTTCCTAGGTCCTCCCAATCTCCTCCTCTTGCAGATCTGCCTCACATTAGAAAACAAACAGGCATCTAAAGAATAATAAAAAAATAAAATAAGATAAAAACAAAAACAAAGAAACCAGAAAGGACAGAACAACCAAACAAAAGAAAGATCCAAAGAAAAAGCACAAGAAACACAGATAGATACAGAGGCATACGAGTTCCCATATAGAGGAATCCCATAAAAACGCAAAATCAGCCAAGTGGTGGTAGCACACACCTTTAATCCCAGCACTCACGAAGCAGAGGCAGGCAGATCTCTGTGAGTTCAAGGGCAGCATGGTCTACAGAGCAAGTTCCAGAACAGGCTCCAAAGCTACAGAGAAACCCTATCTTGAGAAAACAAAATAAGCAAGCAAACAAGCAAATAGATAAATAAATAAAAACACAAAATCAGAAGCCATAATGTATATACAAAAGATGGGTAAGGTTTAAAAGAAAATGCTCTGATTAAAAATTATGAAACAAAGAAATCTCCAAAAATGACATTGAGTTCATTTTGTGTTGGCCATCGCTGCTGGGCCTAAGGCCTACTGTTAATAGTGGTTTGTGTGTCCCCAGCAAGACTCCCTTAGAGAACGCTAGTTTTTATTTCCAAGTGGCGATCAACTGGATATAGTTTCCAGGCTTGAGAAAAGGCCTACCTCTACTCTTAACTCCAGGACCCCATCTGGTGCAGACCCATGTAGGCCCTGTGTATGCTGCCACAGTCCCCATGAGTTTGTATGTATAGTCTGGTTGACATGCTTATGGAAGGTTAAAATGGATGACTATTTAAAATAACACACAGAAGTAGAACTGATTCTAAGCAGCCATATTCAGGGTACTGTTTAGGTGGTAGGATTTCAGTTTATACTAGAATAAAGCGAAGGTTTCTGCCCCACATCCGTCGAATCTCATCTGACCTTCAGACATGGCGCTCTAGTCTAGCAAGACTCTAGCCCATTCCAGTCCCTTTGGGCCTCTCGAAGGACATACTGTGCTAAAGACTATCCACAGAATGGAAGTTTCGCTCCCTAAAGTTACCCTCAGAACAGAGGCCATGGCCAAATCCATATAGTCTCCCACTTACAGGAAGCGCTCTCAATTACCAAACTGTTCACATTTTACAATAAGTTGCCTTGGTGACTACATCTTCACACGGTGAACATGTAACATGCATTCAGTTGTCCCTGAGCATCACCCATTTTGGTGCTGAATCTGTGGGGTCCTATGGTCTCATAAAGGTGACAGCAACCACTAGTCAGCCCCACCACCACGAAGAACAACAACTGACACCCCACAGTGTCCCGTGTCAAAGACGGATACACGGTAGGTAAGGTAGGAATTCAGGCTTTAGGTGTTCTCCATTTAGCCATGGGCATATCAGGACACAGCCCATCCTGGGCCGAGGAACATGAGTCCTTCACTTTGAATTACAAAAATGCTACTCAGAAAAACACATTAGCCTGGTATGACGCCAATGGATGCTGGTTTGGTTTATTCAGAGACATTATCTGAGAAAATTAGTTTTGGAAAAGGTAATGGGGGGTGATTTTAACACAAATACAGTCATTAGTCCCAGACATTTGGGATACAATTATAAGCCCTACATGTTGCTCCAAACAAATCTCTTGAAGGCCGCCGTAGAAAAGCAAAATAGAACATATTTTGTGAAAATTGCGAACAGGCATCTACTGGAAAAATGAAAGTGACGGTCCTAATGTTGAGTGAAAATGGGCTCTTAGGGCTGAGGATAAATCTCTATGATGGCATTGTCCTCGGGTTCTAAAGGTACTAAATCTCAAAGAGCTGGGATGAAAGCAGAGAGCTATGCTCTGAAAGCTACATTAGGTGACTCAAGCCAGCGGCGCCGGCGATGACAAAGACGTTATTAAAGACGCACATTGCAAGTTCAGCCCAGCCGCCTCGTGAAATGTGAGCAGAACACATGTCACCAACTAACACTTTATGTAACAGGGACTTCACGGGACCCAGGCCACCAGAGTAATCAATTAAGTGTTGGAAGTGGAAGTTGGCCTGTTTCGTCTAATCTCCGTTATGTTTTAGGTTGTCCCCCAGACTCTGCCTTGTGTTGAGAAAAAAAAAAAAAAGTATGGAGCCTGTATGGTACAGGGCTCCATCTTGGAACTTATAGAACTGGTGTCCAGTTCTCCTGGAGATGATTTTCCACTTGCTCCTGGGAGAAGTCCATACAGGAAGAAGCTGGTGAGGGATGAAGAGCTATCCTTCAGAGAGTTGAGGGCTGTAAACAGGGAGTGGGAATAAGAATCATCTGTGTTAGTGCCCAGCATCTACTGAGACCCCACGTGTGGTCCATAGAGTGCAGAATAAAGTTCACTGGCTGTGAAAACTCGTGCTCTCCTCTTCCTCTCTGGAGATGGAAGTACCCCCAGCATCTGTTGCCTTCTGTTCAACAGGGTGTTCCACTTAGCTCTCACTTCCCACCTGACCAAGGAGGGGGCTCCAGGGCTACTTACAGCCAGATCTCCCTAGATTAGACTCCATGCTGGGACTTTGGCTAAGAATCTCCCTATCTAATTGCTAAGTGGGGAGGATTCTGTGGGGCCACTAGAAGCCACTGGAAGTCATCAGAGACGGTCAGAGGTATCCAAGAAGGATACTAACTCTGATTTTAGGAAGATATATAGAGACATGGCTTAGGTCCCCAGTCCAGCTAAATACCCTCAAAACAAACAGGTTTGCTTTGTATCTACTACCTAAGTCTTTTTGCGTTGGATTTTAGGCCCTTGGTCCCAGGAGTAGTGATGGATGTTCAATCATTCTCCCAACCCACAAGGACACTGACATCTTCTTAGACCCCAGAGGATGAAGTAGGTGTTTACCCTTCAAGTCAGGTGACCCCCAGCACCTTCTGCTCACACCAAAAGGGGATGAAAGATTTACCTAACATTACCTAATGGCAGGCACAAAATGCAAGGCTTGGTCATCTGCCCCTGGCCCCCAGGATGTAGCTAATGGAACTGCATCTGAGAAACAAATCACAGACCAAGGGTCTTTTCTAGAAATAGCCAATTCCAGCCGACATCGATTCCTATGGCTTCCCAGTCTGCCTTGCACACTGAGAGAAACCATCAATTCCTTCCTTATCTAACTCCTCAGATGACCACATGGCAGAGCCTCAAATTTATGGAGAGTCCAGATGAGGAATGAAGGAGAAGCATGCCCCTTGTCCTCGGGATCTGGAAACTCAAGCAGATGAAACTCAGACAGACAAAGTAAGCACAAAACCAAACAAAATGAGAAGCCAGATCCTGCCCTTCAGAGAAGCTTCCAGAACATGCCAGATCCCTGTTCATTCTGAACTTCAAAATGCAGTTACTTAGGCTGGACTAAAAAGATTTCTCATTTTTTCCCCAATTTTTCTAAATTATGCGTCACATTTATAATGAAATGTCACTTCAATTAATTGAAATTAAATACAGCAGGGCACAAAGATAGAAACTAATAGCTGAAAATGAAGAGCTTCCTCTGCCACTCAGCAGCACCTCGCTCTACAGCGCAAAAGGGGAGGAGCAAAAATTACGGAACGGAAATCTCTACCGAACCCAGAAGCAACTGGAAAAGGAAAAGTAATTGCTTTAAGATTAAAACATATACCAGCAATTTCCACTGAGCCATTAACCTGTGGATTTGTGAAAGTCAATGTCATACTCTATTGAACTCATTTGGGCAGAGGCAGGTGCGCACGTGTCTTTTCTTGATGGTTTTTGAGGTCTCCATTGCAGTGTTCAGTGCTTTAGGATGCAATGGGGAGAGACAGTAAGATGGTAGGTTGCCCTTTGTAAGAAGCAATGTGAAAAGCCTGATGGGATGGCAACTATGAGGCAGGAGGATTATCACAAGTTTGAGGCGGCACGGACTATCTAGCCATATCTTATGTCGAGAGGGAAAAAAGGGAAGGAACAATTAGAACCCAAGCAGTTCCCTAGGAAATGGCTGCTGGACAGGAATGCCTGTCTGCAGTGTTAAAGCAACAGGGTGCTATTCTGGAGTCCACCACCAGGGGCATCAGAACACCAGGTCCTACCATCAGGCGGGGCAGAAGGTGCCTAGCCTGGGTCAGAGCCCTGCTCTCAGGTGCACCAGCGCAGCAACCTTTAGTATGCCCAGGAAGTCCGTCTTGGAAAACACGCCCCCAAACCACAAATGAACCTTTGGAGTCAAGTGCCAAACCTGAAATGGGCCTGGTGCAAGGAAAAGTTGGGAAGGAAGCATACACACCAGGAGGGGAGGGGTATGGACCCCCTCCATAAGAAGAGAAAGCGCCCCTCCCCAAGTGCAACCACACCCCCTAGGGACCTCTAGAGAGTTGCCCGGGTGGAACAGCTGCTGTTTCGCCCTACAGTCTCCCAGGCCGGGGGACAGAAGGAAAAGGAACAGTTTCCCCTCCAAACCAACCCATGGACCCCAGAAGAGCTACAGCCACAGTGGGTTTGGCATTTGGCTTTCCTGGGCTGGATGCTGGGTGTGTAGGTGTCAAGTGACAGGGAGAAATGGCAGTGAGTCCCCCACCAACCACGACCTCAATAACAAAAGACAGGTGTGTGTGTGTGTGTGTGTGTGTGTGTGTGTGCACGCGCACATCATGTTAACACTGGACTATCTCTTTAGTGTCAAATTCTAGATTTCCCCATAGAGATCAGAGCAGACTTTCTCCATGTATAGGAGCTGAGGTTACCAGGACGCTACGAGCTGTTTCTCATAATAAGGGTTTTTTTTTTCTTGTTTATTTTTATTTTCAGCACTGTCGTTATTTTTTTTTTCAGGCGGGACACTGAGGCACAGAAGCTAGGTGGGTCCTCAGCAACAGGACTCCAGGTGTGAGGCCCCAGGGGTCCAGAGCGAGCCGCTGATTGCTGCTGCCTCTGCTGGGCGGGCTGCAGAGCCGGCTCCTCTGTTTACATTTGCTTTCTGAACAGTGTTTTTTTTTTTTTTTTCCCGTGTGCTTCGTAAAAGCATGTTTAGTTTTGAACGAAAGCCGGTGTTTCAAAGCTGGGGGATTGGGG